TTTTTTTTTTTTTTGGAGACAGTCTTACTTTGTCACCCTGGGTAGAATGCTGTGGCATCATAGCTCACAGCAACTCCCAAACTCCTGGGCTTAAGTGATCCTCTTGCCTCAGCCTCCTGAGTAGCTAGGACTATAGGGGCCTGCCACGATGCCAGTCTAGTTTTTAAAGATGGGGTCGCGGTTTTGCTCAGGCTAGTCTCAAACTCATGACTTCAAGCAATCCACATGCCTTGGCCTTTCAGTGCTAGGCTTACAGGCATGAGCCATCACACCTGGCCTTTTATTTATTTTTTTTTTTAATAGAGTCTTACTCTGCTGCCATGGATTGAGTCCCTGGTTCACAGCAACCTCAAACTCCTAGAATCAAGTGATCATCTTGCCTCAGCCTCCCACGTACCTGGGACTACATGCAACTGCCACAATGACTGGCTAGTTTATTTTAGTACAGATGGTGTCCTGCTCTTGTTGGGTCTGGTCTCTTGCTCAGTCTGGTCTCAAACTGCAGAGCTCAAGCAGTTCACCCACCTTGGCTTCCCAGAGTGCTAGGATTACAGATATGAGGCTCTGAGCCCAACCAACTTTTTCTTTAAAACTTCTTATTCTGTGTTTCATCACATTACACTTACGTCAACATCCTTTCATCTTCCCTAAGAGTTTGACTAGCAGCTGCCTATTGAAAGCTGACAGTCACACACATTACATGGGATTCTGTTAGCCAAAGCTAAATCAGAAGATTTAAAGTAATATTGTATATGTACTTTTTTCATTAAAGAATAGATAGGACTTGTAATTTTCAACTTTCATAACATCTATAGGATTTTTTTCTTTGTCATGATTTCAAGCACTCAGTCACATAGATAAGGTGACAATGATAAATTCCTTGATCTCCTGTATTGTTTCCTGATGATCTCTGAAAATTTTGAAGATAATATAAGAATTTTTGATTGAAGAAAGCTGATAATTGTCATTATCACTTATAATTTTTTTTTTTTTTTTTGAGACAGAGCCTCAAGCTGTCCCCCTGGGTAGAGTGTCGTGGCATTACAGCTCACAGCAACCTCCAACTCCTGGGCTCAAGCAAGTCTCCTGCCTCTGCCTCCCAAGTAGCTGGGACTACAGGCGCCCGCCACCACACCCCCTATTTTTTTGGTTGCAGCGGTCATTGTTGTTTGGTGGGTCCGGGCTGGGGATTTGAACCCGCCACCTTAGGTGTACATGGCTGGCGCCTTAGCTGGTTGAGCTATAGGCGCCGAGCCATCACTTACAATTTTCATAACAAATGCTCGGCA